GGAACCCTCATACACTGCTGGTGGGACTGTAAAATGGTATAACTACTATGAAAAACAGTATGGCGCTTCCTTAAAAAGCTGGAAATAGAAATGCCATATGATCCAGCAATCCCACTACTAGTTATATATCCTACAGAAATAAGAGTAGTGATATGAACAGATATGTGTATAGCCATGGTCATCGCTACACTATTCACAATAGCAAAAAGATAGAAACAGCCTAAATGCCCATTAGTGGAGGAATGTATTAACAAATTGTGTTATAGACACACAATGGAATACTACAGTGTTAAAGAGCATGATGAATCTGCAAAATATCTCACATCAGGGATGAACTTAGATGTTATTTTGCTGAGTGAAGTTAGTAAATCACAAAAGGACAAATATGGTATGAGACCATTATTGTAAAAGTCAAGAAAAGGATTTCACATACAAAAAATACTCTTTGATGCTTATCAGGGATGGGTGGAGGATGGAGGGTAACCATTAAGTGGATGGTAGATACACATTAACTTTAAAAAAAAACCCAAACACATTGCCTTGGAGTCGGACCTTACTTATAGTGACCCCTCCTTTGGGTGTCTGAGGTGATATTGTTATGGAAGTAGATTGCTCAACCTTCCTTCCAAGGAGTGGGTGGTGGGTTTGAACCGCCAGCCTTCTGGTTAGCAGTCAAGTGCTTTAGGCGCTACGCCACCAGAGCTCCCCACATTAACTTAGGTGAGGGGAAAAAAATCAGAAAGGAAACCTTCTTGAGGAAGAAATGGTAATAGAACTACCTTATAAGGAATTAAAAAGATTCATATATGGGATTCTTGAGGAGATCAAGGAAAACACAGCAGGAACCCTAGAAGATTTCAGGAAAATAATACAAGAACAAAATGACAAAATAGACAATTATAAACCATACAAAAACAGCTAGAAATCCATAATATTAACAATAAAATATCAGAAATAGATAACCTAATGGAAGGAGATAAAGTAGAACCAGTGGGAAAGAGAATCAGGAAGTAGAAGACAAATCCCTTGATATCAGTCTGAGGAACTATCAGAAAAAAAAGTTAAGAAAAATGAAGAATGCCTAAGACTTATGTGGGACACTATTAAGAGGAAGAATTTTGTGTGATTGGGATTCCAGAAGTGGAGAAGAAAAGTACAGAGAATTTTTGACGACTTATTGATAAAAAGCTTCCCTAATAGCATGAAAAATGAGGACGCTTCCATCCAAAAAGTTCCATGGACCCCATACTATTTCATAGTAGTTACACCATTTTACAGCCGCAGGATGGAGCCCAACAGAAAATTACAAAGACATATCCTGATCAAATTTTCCAAACAAAAACAAGAAAGAATTCTGAGACAAGAAAGATTTCTTGGCAGAAATCATGCAGCCAAGAGGATCATGGGCTGATACATATAAAATCTTGAAAGAAGAATTGCCAATTATGAATCATCCATACAGCGAAATTGTCTTTCATATCCGGTGGTGAAACTAGGATGTTCCCAGATGAACACAGATTAACAGAATTTGTAAAAGCCACACAACTTTTACAAGAAATATTAAAGGGAGTCCTTTAGGCATAGAACTAATGATGCCAGACAAAAATCTGAGATCAAGACACATGACAGCATCACCCAGATGCCAACTTAGATAAAGAATTCTAAAAAAATAAATCTGCAAAACTGAAAAAAGGGAACCAGAGATGTTGATCTGTAAATGGTAGCAACTTCAAAATAAAAAGTATAAATAAATGTAGTTACAGAACTTCCATGTGAAGAAGTCAAACCAATATCAAAACCTAACAGATATTTAAACTTAGGAAAATAATGGTAAATTTCAGAGTTACCATAAAGAAAATTAATAAATCTCACCAAAATAAAGAAGAAAATAAAAAAGACTCAGTAAACACAAAATCGTCAATGAAGGATATGACAAGAAAATTTGTAAACAAAAAGAACTTAGCACAGAAAATGAAGCAGAACAAAGAAATTGCTGACAACATATTTTTAAAAATAGCATAACAAATCAGCAGCAGTAAATTCATACCTGTCTATCATCATACTGAATGTAATAGTGTAAATGCACCAGTCAGGAGACAAGAGAGTAGCAGAGTAGATAAAAAATGACCTATCAACGTGTTGCATATAAAAGCCACATCTTAGACACGAAGACATAAATAGAACAAAAATGGAAGGATGGAAAACATATCAAGCAAATAGTAACCAAAAGAGATCAGGAGTGGCAATAATAATTTTTGATAAAATAGACTTTAAGTTAAAATCCATTATGAGAGATAAAGCATTAATGGCATTATATAAATGATGAAGGGGTCAGTAAAGTAAGAGGACATAGCCATAATAAATATTTACACACCCAGTGATGGAGCTCCAAAGTACATAAACAATTGAAAAGATAATTCATTCTAAAATAATAGTAGGAGATTTAACACACCACTTTTGACATTGAACAGAACAACTAGAAAGGAACAAAGGTGCAGAAGATCTGAATAACACAGTTAACTAATATGACTTCATAGACATACAGAACACACCAGCCAGCAGCAGCACATTACACATTATTGTCCAGTGCACATGAATCATTTTCTAGAATAGACCATATTTTAGGCTACAAAGTAAACCTCAATAAATTAAAAAAACAGTGAAATAATACAAAGCATCTTCTCTGATCATAATGCTAGAAAGCTAGCATTATGATTATAAATCAAAGAAAGAAGAAAAATTAAATACATCAAAACTGAATGATACCTAACTGAAAAACTATTGATTACTGGAAGAAATTAAAAATGAAATAAATTCTTAGAATTAAATTTGAATGAACAGACAGTATTATCACAGTGAAAACAGTGCTCAGAGGAGTATTTGCACACATTGAAAAAGCAAAAGGGACCAAAATCAAAAGCTTATTTCTAACACATGAGCAATTAGAAAAGGAGCAGCAGAAAGATTTCAGTCACTAGGAGAAAGGAAATAATAAAGATCAGAACAGAAATAAATAGAAAACAGGAAAAAAAATTAGAATCAAGATTAGATGTTAGTTCCTTAAGAAGATCAATAAAAGACAAACCCTGACCAAATTGAAAAAGGGGGAGAAAATGAAAATATACAAATAACCAAAATAAGAAACAGTGTAGGTGACATTACTGCAAAACTGAGATAAAAAGGATCATAACAGACTATTATGAAAAAGTGTAACAAATCTGAAAACCTGGAAGAAATGAGCAAACACACTACCTACCTAAACTAACACAGAGACAGAAAATTTAAATAGACTCATAATGAAAGAAGAAATTGAAGATACCGTGTTGTTTTGAAAAAATGGAAAGCCCTAGCCCAGATGGCTTCATTGGAGAATTCTACTAGACATTCAGAACAGAGGTCATCCCAATTTTACTCAAAGTAATCCAGAACATAGAAAAGGAAGGAGTATTCCCTAATTCATTTTCTGAAGCCATCATAACCCTGATACCAAAACTAGGCAATGATACACATAAAAAAGAAAACTGCAGACCAGTATCCCTCATGAATATAGATGCAAACATGCTCAACAAAATTCTGTCCAGCAGAATTCAAGAGCATATAAAAAAAAAAATAATACATCACAGTCAGGTGGAATTCATGCCAGGGATGCAAGGTGGTTCTACATTAGAAAATCAATTAACATAATTCACCATGTACATTAAAAAAGGAAAAGAATTACATGATCATCTTAATGCAGAAAAGGCATTTGATAAAACCCAAACCAAACCCATTGCTGTTTGGTCTCACACAAACCTTCATAGGGTTTCCAAGGCTGCAAAACTTTATGGAAGTATACTGCCTCATCTTTCTCCTGGGAACTAATAGAAGTGTTCAGCAAAGTGGCAAGCTAGGAGAATCAACATACAAAAATCAGTAAGTTACCTCTACACCAACAGGAAAACTCCAAAAAAGAAATCAAGAAAACTATAGTTTACTGTAGTCCTCCCAAATGATAAAATACCTCAGAATAAATCTAACCAGAGACAAAGAAGACTTATATAAGGAAAACTACAAAACACTACTGCAAGAGACCAAAAGAGATCTACATAAATAGAAAACCATACCATGCTTATGGATTGGAAGACTTAGCATTGTGAAAATGTCATTATTACCTAAAGAAATCTATAGATATATTACAATCCAAAGCCCAACAATATTCTTTAACAAAATGGAAAAACTAATCTCCAACTTTATAAAGAAAGAGGTCCTGATAGCTAAAGCATTATTGAAAAATGAGAACAAAGTAGGAGGCTTCACATTTCTCTATCTCAGAATTTACTATACAGCTACAGTATTCTGAAAAGCTTGGTACTGATATGACAGACACAGACTAGTGAAACAGAATTGATAACCCACAAGTAAATCCATCCAGCAACAGTTGAACTTTGTCAAAGGGTCGAAGGCCGTTCAATGGAGAACCAATAATCTCTTGAACCAGATGGTGCTGGTGAAACTGGATCCATACTTCACACCATACACAAAAAGTAACCCCAGATGGATCAGAGACCTAAACGTTAAACCTAAAACTATAACGTTCCTGGAATGGAACAGGGATGAAGTTAGGGGATCCTAATTCATGGCATAGCTAACTATCAAACATAATTAAAAATGCACAAACAATAGAAAATAAATTAGGTAACTGGGACCTCATAAAATTAAATATGTATGTTCATCAAAAGACTTTACCAAAAGAGTAGAAGGAGAACCTAGAGACTGTCAAAAATGGGCAAATGTCATGAACAGAGACAGTTCACCAAGAAGACATTCTGGCAGCTAACAAATATGAAGAGATGCTCACAATTGTTTGGCTGTTAACAAAACAGCTAATGTTAACAGCTGTTAACAAAAAACCAAACCCACTTGCCATCAAGTTGATTCTCTAGCAGCCCTAGAGAACTGCCCCAAAGGGTTTCCACGGCTGTAAATCTTTATGGAAGCAGACTGCCTCATCTTTCCCCTGCAGAGTTGAAGGTGGGTTCGAACCACTGACCTTTTGGTTAGCAGCCAAAAGCATTAACCACTGTGCTACCAGATCTCCTTTAGCTGTTAGAGAGATGCACTGTTGTTATTAGGTGATGTCAAGTCGATATCCTAGACGTTAATTAGTGAGCTGAAATAGACTGGCTGGTATTGGCTATTTTTAATCAGATAATCATATGATCTACTATGCTGTGAATGACAAATTGAAGAGGAATGGTGTTGGATTCATTGTCAAAACGAACATCACAAGATCTGTCCTGAAGTACAGTGCTGTCAGTAATAGGATAATATCCATACACGTACAAGGAAGGCCAGTTAATACTACTGTTATTTAAACTTATGCACCAACTAACTAGTAAAGCCAAAGATTAAGAAACTGAAGATTTTTGCCAACTTCTGCAATCTAAAATTGACCAAACATGCAATTAAGATGTATTGATAATTATTAGTGATTGGAATGCAAAAATTGGAAACAAAGGAGAATCATTGGTAGTTGGAAGGTATGGCCTTGGTGACAGAAATGCTGCCAGAGACTGCATGATAGAATTTTGTAAGATCCACAGCTTATTCATTGCAAATAACCTTTTTTCAACAACATAAAACACATGTACCTCACCAGATGGAATACACAGAAATCAGATTGATTACATTTATGGAAAGAGGTGATGGAGAAGCTCAATCTCATCAGTCAAAACAAGACCAGGAGCTGACTAGAACAGACCATCAACTGCTCAAATGCAAGTTCAAGTTGAAGCTAAAGAAAATTAAAATAAATCCACGAGAGCCAAAATACAACCTTGATTATATCTCACCTGAATTTAGAGACCGTGTGAAGAATACAAGTTGTGGGATGATACCAAGAACATCATACATGAAGAAAGCAAATGGTCATTAAATAGACAAAAAAGAAAGAAAAGACCAAAATGGATGTGAGAAGAGACTCTGAAACTTGCTCTTGAACATAGAGTAGCTAAAGCAAATGCAAGAAACAATGAAGTAAAATATCTGAACAGGAGATTTCAAATGGTGGCTCAAGAAGACAGTTACTTATTATAATGAAATGTGCAAAGACTTGGGGTTAGAAAACTGAAAGGGAAGAACACGCTCAGCATTCCTCAGGCTAAAAGAACTGTATTAGAGAGATGTGAATCAAAACTGCAATGAGATACTGCTTCACCCTTTCAAAAATGACATTGATCAAACAAAGGAAACAGTAAATGCTGGCAAAGTTGTGGGGACATTGGAACTCTTATACACAGCTGATGGGATTATAAAATGGTACAGTCCCTGTGGAAAATGGTATGGTGTTCCCTCCAAAGGCTAGAAATAGAATCCCATTCCTAGGTTTATATCCTAGAGAAATAAGAGCAGTGACATGAATAGACACATGTACACCTGTGTTTGTGGCAGTATTATTCATGATAGTAAAAAAGGTAAAACTATCACTGGATGAATGGATAAACAAAATGTACATACATGCACTGGAGTGCTCTGCAGCAATAAAAGATAAAGATGAATCTGTAAAACATAACATGGATGAATCTGGAGGACATTATGCTTTGTGAAATAAGTTGATCACAAAACAAATATTGTATGATACCACTTTTATAAAAAGTCAAGAATAGGTATACAAACAGAAAGCAACGTTCTTCGATGGTTACCAGATATGGGAAGGGGTAGGGAGAATCACTTGCTAAGTAGTAGTAATAGTAGTAGTAGTTGTTGGTAGTTGCTGTTGAGTCATCTCTGATTCATAGCGACCCTTTGTACAGCAGAATGAAACATTGCCTGCTGCTGTGTCAGCCCCATGATCCTTGCTATACCTAATCCCATTGTTGTAGCCACTGTGCCAGTCCATCTTGTTGAGGGCCTTCCCCTTTTTTGTTGACCCTCCATTTTACTGAGCAAGATATCCTTTTCCAGGGAATGTTCCCTTCTTACAACATGACGAAAGTAGGTGAGACGAAGTCTGGCCATTCTCACTTCCAAGGAGTATTTCTGCTGCACTTCTTCCAGGGCAGATTTGTTAGTCCTTTTAGCAATCCATTTTACTTTAACCATTCTTAGCCAACACCACAACTCAGAAGTTCCTTATTCATTGTCCAGCTCTCACATGCATATGAGGCGATTGAAAATACCATGGCTCAGGTTAGGTGCACCTTAGTCTTCAAGGAGACATCTTTGCTCTTCAGCACTTGAAAGAGTTCTTTTGCAGCAGATTTGCCCAGTGCAATACATCATATGATGTCTTGGGCTGCTGCTTCCATTGGTGTTGATTGTAGAACGAAGTAATATGAAGTCTTTGACAACTTCAATCTTTTCTGCATTTATTGTGATGCTGCTTATTGGTCCAGTTGTGAGGATTTTTTTAGTTCCTGTCAGCTGTTTGGACTCTGCCCAGTCTTTAAATCTGTGAGCCCCTTATTTTAGGCTTTTGACTTCTGTGTGTGCTTTAGAGCTATTGTCCAGTGATTCATGCTTATTTGCAGTGGGATGTGAATAGTTATTTATAGAAGCTATGCTAATTCTGGGAGCTCTGGTAGTGTAGTGCCTAAGGCACTTGACTGCTAACCAGAAGGCTGGTGGTTCAAACCCAGCAGCCACTCTTTTGGAAGGAAGATGGGGCAATCTACTTCCATAATGATACTGCCTCAGAAACCCAAGGAGGAGTCGCTGTGAGTCAGGTCTGACTTGATGGCACATAACAACAACAACACTAACTCTACCTCTAAAAGATTGCTGTCACTTGCTATGATTTTTGCTTCCAAAAGTTGAACCTAAAGTCTACTTTTGTCAGCTAGGAATGTGACTGTTTAGTCTTCCTTTTTTTTTTTAAATATTGTAACCTTTTTTTTTTTTGAGATAATTATAAACCTTTATTGAAAGATGCTAAAGGAAACATAAGTAGGAGAGATGTGGCATGCTTGTGATTAAAAGACTCACTATTATAAAGTTGCCCGATCTCCCAAGTTGATCTATAGATAGTAATCTATTTTTGAGGTAGTAAACATTATTCTACTTTCATATAATATATTGAGTCTTGTAAATTAGTATTGCTTTAGTTTTTTTTTTTAAGAAATGAATTGTTTAAGATAATGTTTGGGTTGATTTTTTTGTGGTTGTAAAATACCTCCAAATTGTTTTGTTTATCAAGACATTAAGAAAGTGAAAAGGCAATTAAGAATTAAGAATATATTTGCAATATATATAACCAGCAGACTTCTATATATTAACAACTTTCACAAAGTGATAAGAAAAAGACAAAGCCCATTCTAAAAGTAGGCAAATAATTTGGATAGTTATTTATCTAAAGAAGATACCCTAACCATCAATAAACTATAAAAAGGGGCTCAACTTCATTAGTCATCAGGAAATAGAAGTGCATAAAACATCACATCCTCATCAAGATGGCTAAAATTAAAAAAAAAAAAGACAACAGTGCAAGTGTTGGGAAAAGATAAGACAATAGGAACTTTCATACAGTGCTCACAAAAGTGTAAATTGGTACAACCAAAAGCTATTTGACAGTATATTGAACATACTCGTACAGCAGTATCACTCCCAGATACAAATCCAACAGAAATGCGTACTAAAAAATGTGTGAGAGTGTTTATAGTCTGAAGCATTATTTATGATAGTCAAAAACTGGAAACTATCTAGGTGTTCTCATTAGTAGTAGAAATGATAGATTGTGGTATATCCATGTGGTATATTCATTCCATGGTATCCTCTATAGCTTTGTTAGCAAAATTGTGGTCCATGAGTCACCTGTCTCTGCAACACCTGAGAGCTTATTAAAAAAACCAAACTCACTGTCATCTAGTCAATGCTGACTCATAGTGACCCGCACTGGGTTTCTGAAGTGGTAAATCTTTTTTTTTTTTTTAAATTGTGCTTTAGGTGCAAATTTACAGAGCAGAGTTTGTTTTACATTCAACATTATGTGTACATTTAGTTTCACTCCCCATTTACCATCCCCAACCCTAACCCAGTCTCCTCCCCTCCCTGCCCAGTAACCTCCCCTTTCCCCTGCCCCCATGCCCCTCATAGTTACTACACTTGTGTGTTTTGCATTTCCTCTATGCAAATGTTGCCCCTCTGGTGCCCCATGATTGATTGCTCCAAGGCATGCACTTCCATAGAGTATGTGGGTGCTGTCCCCCTTAGTTGAGTGGTCTGTGTGTACATCTTGTTTACTATTGGGGTGAGAGCCAGCCCCTGGGAGTAAGTTTTATTCCAGGCCCAGAATGTGTCCCAGGGCCATAGTATTGGGGGTCTCACTAGACTCCATTGGACCAGTAATTCTAGTCATTATTGAGTTTTTGGATTTTATTCCATGTTTTTCCTCCCACTCTATCCAGGATCTCCAGATTTGATCCTTTCCTGAGTGGTTGGCATTGGTAGTGGGACACCATTTAGTTCTTCTGGTCTCGAGGGCCATCATGTCCTAGGGCTGATTGCTTCCAAATACCTGTGGGTTTTTTCGTTTTTTTTTTTTTCCCCACTCATCTTTGTGAAGCAGTAAATCTTTACAGAAGTAGATTGCCCAGTCTTGCTTCCACCGAATGGCTGGTAGGTTTGAGCCATCAACCTTCTGGTTAGCAGTCAGATGCTTTAGGCACTGTGCTGCCAGAGCTCCTTGAGAGCTTATTAGAACCACAGAATCTTAGAATCCCCCTCAGATACACTGAATCAGAATCTACATTTTAACAAGTTCCTCAGACAATACTTATGTATGAAAAATTTTGAGAACCACTACTTTAGTAGCAGTTCTCAGAATTGGTCTTTAACCAGCAGCATGGGAACTTGTTAGAATTACAAATTCTCAGTCCCTTCCCCAGATCTGGGGATAGGGCCCAGCAAGATGTTTTAATGTGCTGTCCTGGTGATGTAGATGAATGTTGTAGTTTGATAATATAACAGGCTCGCAGGTGATGTCTAATTGGGAACTATGAGAATCACTGCTTGCTGGTTTGGCAAACTTTCTGTACAGGTCCAGACAGTAAATGTTTTAGACTTTTTGGAAGTCATTCAATCTCTGTCATAGCTACTCTGATGTGTGTTGCACAAAAACAGCCACAGACAATACAGAAGTAGGCAATAACACTTTATTTATAGAGGCTAGATTTGGCTCCTGGAGTTTGGGGATCCCTACTGTAGTATAGCATCACTTATTATTGCCCTTGAAGCCATGGTCTTTGTAACTTTCACAAAATGAGTGGGTGGGACTATGCAAATGTAAGCTGCTTGTGGCCCACCAAGGGATTTGGCTAGATTCACAGTAATGTAAATAAGGGGCATGGTACACTTGTGGAGTAGGACCATGCAAATAAGGTCTGTGGAACCCTAACATAGGGATTGGTCAGATTTGCCATCCTCCTAGGCTTAAAATGAGCCATCCCAGAGGCGGAAAGGGGGACCTGACTACCACTAACAAGAAAAGATGAGAGTGGAGTGTGTCCTTTGCATCCAGGGTCCCTATACTGGGAACCTCCTAAGATCTAGGAAACGGAGAGCTGTAACACCAGAGGGACAACAAAAGACTTTGAGAGATGGCAGGAAGTTGTGGCAGATAAGTGGTAGTAGAGAAGCAGAAGCAGCAGAACCAGGAGACCAGCAGGAGACAAGTGGTGGGCTTCCTGGCCCATAGAGTGGGAAAGTTGAGTGCCTTGGGGCAGGAGGCTTGATGGCAGAGTGAGGTCCCTCTGGGCACTTATCAGCAGAGCTGAAAAAGAGCTTTGTAACATGTGCCGGAGTAGGGCAGAGGCCAAGGGGCTGAAAGCCAGAGAGAGGGGTTCCTGTGGGCATGGCTGAGGGGAGGTTGTCCTGATCCAAGACCTATGTCCTCAGCATTCCTGAACCTGAACTATAACCTGTTCCTTCCCTGATAAACTCTATAATTATGAGTCTTGTGTGTGAGTTTTGTGTGGCCATTGCAATGAATTATCAAATCCAGTAGAGAAGTAAAAAGTGCTGTGGGAGAGATAGTTGGTATCAGAATTGGTAAAATGGTCAGAGGGTGGAGGCATGTCTGCCTGCAGCCTCATAGGAATCAACCTTAAAATGTTGATCTTGATCTTTCTCTCCTCTTGTGAAGTTAGAGATCAGACATGGCCACTATACCATTTTCACACTTACTTTATAGCAATGAGGTTGTTGTTGTTGTAATGTGCCGTCGAGTCGGCCCCGACTCATAGCGACCCCTCCTTGGGTTTCCTAGGCAGTATCACTACGGAAGTAGGATTGCCCAAACCTTCCTTCTGAGGAGTGACTGGTGGGTTTGAACCGCCAGCCCTCTGGTTAGCAGTCAAGTGGTTTTAGCCACTATGCTACCAAGTTGTAGTAAGTGGAAAATCAACAACCCTATAAGAATGAAAAAGTTATACACAAAACATGGATGAATCCTTCAAACATTGTGATTAAAAAAAAATGCCAGATATAAAGTGTACACACCATGTAATTCCATTTATACACAGTTCAAAACAGGCAAAACTAATCTTTGGTGTTAGAAATTGGGAGAATGACTACGGGGTGGGTAAGCATGTTTATGACTAGAATAGGACATAAGGGGGTCTTCTGGAGTGCTGATCCTGGGGTTCAGTTACCTGAATGTATTTCACTTTATAAAAATTTGTGGAGCTGTACATTTATGTTCTGTTTTACATCAATAAAAATTTTCCTAAAAAAAGTCATTTTTAAAATTTGTCTTGATTGTCAGATTGGGGAAGGTGAATTCCATGGACACTTTTTTTGAATAGTGATTTGGGTGAAAATTTACAGAGCAAATTCATTTCCATGCAATGATTCATACACATTTTGTTTCATGACATTGATTGCAATCCCCATAATGTAACAGCTCTCTTCCCACTTCCTCCCTGTGCTTACCTTTTTCCTGTGTCCTGGACACTTTTGAAGCCAAAATAGAATTAGGTTAGATCAAATAAGATGTGTTAGAAACCACTGCAGTACATCTCTTTGAATGTAATATAAGGATGCAGATGAACAAGGAGCTAGGACCTTGAAATTAATTTAAAAAGTGTCTTTAGGAAAGATTGTAAATTTAATAAGGTAATATCATTATTTAGGATTTTGATATCACATGTTGTTTTGTTGTTGTTATGTGCCATCGAGTTGGACCCAACTCATAGCGACCCCTCCTTGGGTTTCCAAGGCAGTATCACTATGGAGGTAGATTGCCCAGCAAGATATAGCAAATCTCCTTAGTATCTGCCTTAATAAAAGATAGCTGGATTATCAAATCTGGTTAAAGTGTATGAAGAAAGTCAAGTATCACATAGATACGTAGTTGAGAAAGAGGAGGAGTATTTTAATAGCTTTCATGTATTATTGCAGATATTCTTTGGTCTACACCAGAATGCAAGTGATAGAAATTTTTTAAGATTAATTGTAATGTGAAATCTGAAAGTACATCAGTGAATGTTTCATAAAATCCATTGGTTACATTAAAATTGGTTACATTAAAATGCATTGATCCAGCTTACACTTAGAATTCATCTTTTATCTTGTATGATTTTGTAACATCATTCATTGGTCATTTGGAAAATATTAGTTTACTGAGTAATACAAATCTTCCACATTTCATTATAAAATTAAAAAAAATTGTATTTGTTCATATTATTACTGATATAATTAGAAACATTTAAAAAGTATTGGGACCCTGTTATGCCCATAGTGATGGATGTGGTTTCCAAAATTCTGATTTTCATTTGAAAGCTTGACTTTTTGTTATTGACAGCAAATACTGTCAGTTGTTTTCCTTGATAATCGTTTTTGAGAAAATGTCTGCCAAATACCTTAAGTCTAAAAGTCTAAATGACCATAATTTGTCAGTTATTGTAATTTAAAATGGTGTTTCATTAAAAAAAAAAAAAAAAACTACTTCAGATTATAAGTTATTTGCACAAAAGCTTTTTTGTTTGTTTGTTTTTGAGACATGAGTCCTTTATGAGTACTTCCATTTAGTCAACAGAATATTAAAAAGATGAGTATTCAAAGGTACAAGTATAATAAAGTCAGTTTTTTAATGCTTCATCCAGTACATTCTTAATTGAAATTGGCTTTTTAAGTTTTATTTTTTAATTGTGTCTGATGGTTAAGAATATGTTGTTGTTTGCCGTCGAGTTGGCCCCGACTCATAGCGACCCCTCCTTGGGTTTCTGAGGCAGTATCACTACGGAAGTAGGATTGCCCAGCCTTCCTTCCGAGGAGTGGCTGGTGGGTTTGAACCGCCAGCCTTCTGGTGAGCAGTCAAGTGCCTTAGGCACTATGCTACCAGAGCTCCTGGTTAAGGATATAGTGAATGCTTATTCTGCTGGTACAGTATTAGTGCCTTAATTTTGTTTTGTCCAACGTTGATCTTGCACGAGTAGTGCAAATGCCAACAGAGTTTAAAAAAAAAAAAAAAGGATGAATAATGTCTTGTTGTTATGAAAATAGTTATAACATTGGGACCTACAGAGGTCCCAACTGTAGGGCTTCATTTATATCTTCTAGAGAAGATTGTTGCACATATACAAGTATCTATTTTAAACATTGTAGCACTTTTCTTCTTTTGAAAGTACTTATCCTTTCCCTGTAGGAATGTATCCTGTCAGGTATAATGTCAGTGAATGGAAAGAAAGTTCTACATATGGATCGAAATCCATATTATGGAGGAGAAAGTGCATCCATAACACCACTGGAAGATGTAAGTATTAGTGAAAAGTAATATGTTCTTTGTGCTTTTGAAAATTTTACTAGAGAATCTCTACTTTATTCCTTAGACACATGGCATTTTGCTTTATTAAACTAATAGAATATCTGGAGCACTATAATATTTCAGGAGTTTCTAGTTTGGGGCTTGTAAAGATGTCAGTTTTCACCTTTGCTGCCATCTGGAGCAAAATTATTATTTCTCAAAGTTAGTAGAGTACAGACTCAAAAGGATATGCAGAGGATCACCTTTTGATGCAGATGTCATATATGCCAGTGCATATAAATGGTCTCATTTATTCTCTCACTCACTCAGTCAAAGAGATATATTTATTCCCATTTTCAGATGACAAAATAATCTCTGTGGGGTCTAAATTGCAAATATGGACTGTGAACCTGGGTTATATATGACTAAAACTTTATTCCTTTTGCTACATTGCCCTGTTTCCAAGTCTTTACAAACAGGAGCATAAAGCATTTGAAAAGTGTGTGTCTTAGTAAACATATTTATTTCTGTTTGGGGTTTGTTACTCATTCACATACACAGATACGAGCTTACTGCGTTTTGTAGGAGATATATAAGTCCTCGGTGACTTTTTAAATCATCAGTCTCAATAGAGTTAATTTTTATACCAAAAATATTTAGCATATATTCAGGCATACAGAAAGTTGAAAGAGTAATATAATGTATCAAAAACCATCCACTTGGATTCAGTAGTTAATGCTTTCCTGTATTTGTTCTGTGTCTCTCTTTTTTTGTTGTTGATTTTGAACCACTGAACGTTGTGTAGACATAATGATACTTGACTGAAGCATTTCATCATTCATTCAAGAATAACATTCTCCTTGTTGTTGTTGTTTGCCGTCGAGTCGGCACCGACTCATAGCGACCCCTCCTTGGGTTTCCGAGGCAGTATCACTACAGAAGTACGATTGCCCAACCTTCCTTCCGAGGAGTGGCTGGTGGGTTTGAACCACCAGCCTTCTGGTGAGCAGTCAAGTGCCTTAGGCACTATGCTACCAGAGCTCCTTCATAACTATAATACCATTATCACCCTTAAGAAAATAAGCAGTAAAAGCCAGACCATACTCAAATTTCCCCAGTGATCCCAAGAATGTCTTAATGTCTTAGAATAGCTGTGTAGAAGTTTTTTGTTGTTGTTAAACCAAGATCGATTAAAAGTTCAAGTATTACAATTGGTGTTATTTCTCTTTGCTCTTAATCTACAGAGATTTTATTTCTTTTGAAAAGTGCAGCTAATTTATAAGGAAGTATTGTTGAGTACTTGATAATATATCACATCAAGAGGCACATAACGTCTGGTTAACTTATCATTACTGATGCTAAGCTTGATCTCTTGGTTAAGGTGATGACCACCAGATCTCTACATTGTAATTGATCTGTGGAGTGGTATATTTGCAGTTAATAAGTAATCTTTGGAGAGATGCATTGGCACTATTTATTAGCTGATCTTCAGTAAGATAAGCAGGCCTTCTTTGCCTTTTTTTAAAAAAATATACTCAGACTCATGAATTTTTATCGAGTATGTACGTACCAACTTTGCTGTTTCTGTTCCACTTTAGCAATAGAATGCATCAGCTTGAATGCATACCCTCAAATTTTAAACTCCATGCTGCTTTTTACCTAGAGCTCATATTAGAATGAAAAAAGTGAAATCCACTGCAGTCAGGTCTGTTCTGAGTCATGGTGTGTTAGATTGGGTTCTCTAGAGAAACACAAAAAACCAGTAAAGTATATATATATATTTAGAGAGAGAGAGAGAGATTTATCTTAGGTAAATGG